TGCCCAGGGAACATTCCCACCCAGAAATTCCAGTGGATGCTTTTTAGGAAGCTGAAGAAAAACAAAATGACTTTAGCATGTATGTTTGAATGACACTAACATGTTTTTTAACAGGGAAAAAATACAGAATTGAAAGTACTTTTAAGAGGGCACAGTTGTTATTGCCTTCATTTGCTATCTGTGCTGCTCTATGGCATTTTGGAGTTGATTTGTATTTGTTTTTGGTTTTTGTTCTACCTGAATTTTACAAGAAGTTGTTGAAATAGTCAGAGAATTGTGAAATTTATGAATGGGACTTTTGCCATTAAGGACTTCAGAGGGTAAAAGCATAAATATACTGGTTCTTTTGATGTTTTTTCCTTAATTGAACGTATTTTTTTAAGTAGTTGCCTCTTATCTCAAGATAGATTATCTTATGCAATGAACATTTTTGACACCCTTAGAGATTAAATGAACGATTGAAAGATAAGGGATGAGTTTTCTTGGAAGAGAGAAGATAAGATTGTTAGAAGATATGTTGGTAAACTTGGGCGGATTAGTTAAGGACTAAGCTTTAATGTGAAACAGAAACTCTGGACACTGGCCTTTGCTTTGGTCTTACTGAAGACACAGTTGGGCTTTTTCCATAGTGGGATGGACTGAGATGGAACATTGGGGACCCAGAAGGGGAACTCCTTTGATTTTGCATCACGAATAAACCTTGCTACACCACAGTCTCCCATACATGCATCCCTGAAATGCTTTTTCTGCAATCCCATGAAAGAGCCTAATTTTGACCGACAGTAGCACCATTATGCACTGTTGATGAGACTGTAAAATGGAACAGCTATTATGAAAAACAGTGTGAAGTTTGCTCAAAAAAATAAAAATAGAATTATCACATAATCTAGCAATTCTTGTAGAGTATATCCAAAATAATTGAAACTAGAGTCTTAAAGGGATGTTTGTATACCTATATTCATAGCAGCATTATTCACAGTAGCCCAAAGGTGGAAACAACCAAAATGCCCATTGACAGATGAATAGATAAACAAAACAGGACATATATGTACAATGGTATATATTATTCAGCCTTGAAAAAAAAGGAAATTCTGACATGTGTCACAACATAGATAATCCTTGAGAGCATTATGCTAAGTGAAATAAGCCAATCACAAAAAGACAAATAGTATGATTCTACTTAGAAAATAAAAAGTTCTCATTCTAGTTTCCTATAAACAGATTTATTAAAAACTATATATTATAATCAGATTACTTTTATTCATTCACAGATGTCCTTTCATTGTGACTTGAAAATTATAAAATGTGTAGAAAAATATCATATAATATTGTAGAAATGAATCTAAAAATTGTTCATACAAAAGAAATGCAAAATATTTTTAATAAAAGCCATCTCCACTATCCCCAGTAACTCCCTTGCATGAAACTCTAATTTGCTAATTAGACTGATGATACCTGTCTTCACTGTACATTTTGGGTAATTAGATGTTACAACTGAACTACTAAGAGAGAATGGACCCCTCAAAAGGGCAGTCAGTTAGGTCATTATTCTGAGTCAAAACAACCAAATTATTATTACCAGGAAGTTCAAACTAGAGGAATTGGTCTGAACATTTAGTGTGCTCAATTTGGGGTCAAACCCTTTGTGTTGAGCAAATTCACACCATACAATCGTATTAGTACATTAAAACAGGCTTTGGTAAAAGGAAAATACACATAATCAAGAAGTTTACATAGAGGGAAAGGAACATGTGGAGATAGTCCCCACTGAGTTCCAGAGACTTTCCCAAGAAACTAAAAAGTGTGGAAGTCTAAATTCAAAGTTGGGACAACCACTCCCAGGTGACCTAGAGCCCTTTGATTCTCACTATAGGACACCTGGAAAGCGACTATCATCTAGAGCAGTGGTTCTCAACCTGTGGGTCGCCAACCTGTGGGTCGCGATCCCTTCAGGGGTCGAATGACCCTTTCACAGGGGTCGCCTAAGACCATTGGAAAACACATATATAATTACATATTGTTTTTGTGATTAATCACTATGCTTTAATTATGTTCAATTTGTAACAATGAAAATACACCCTGCATATCAGATATTTACATTACGATTCATAACCCTAGCAAAATTACAGTTATGAAGTAGCAACGAAAATAATTTTATGGTTGGGGGTCACCACAACATGAGGAACTGTATTAAAGGGTCGCAGCATTAGGAAGGTTGAGAACCACTGATCTAGAGCCACTTACTCTTCCTTTCCCCCATTTCCCCCATGGAAGGTGCATTAGTCATTAAGGGTCAGGAAGAAAGAAGCAATGTTCCTGTACCACCTAGATGATACTCATAGAAAAACAATGAGGCCCTGGCCAGGAAGCTCAGTTAGTTAGAGTGTCATTCCAATGCCCAAAGGTTGTGGGTTTGAGCCCCAGTCAGGGCACATACAAGAATCAACCAATGAATGAATACAGAAGTGGAACAACAAAATCAATCTCTCTCTGTCTCTCTCTCTGTCTCTCTCTCTCCCCCTCCCCCCAATCAATAAATAAATTTAAATAAAAGAACATGAGGCTTACAGAAAGAACTACTTTAATGCATTCAACAAATGTTCATGATCTATTTCCAATCCCCAATGACTGTTGGGACACTGTTTTCAGGAGACAATACATTCTGTGATCCAAACAACTGACAGACAAATAAAGCTATAGAATGACACTTGTACCACTAATCCTGGTCATTGGTGATACAGAAGGATTTCAGTGCCTGAATAAATTACAGTAATGAGATTATAAAGGTTTCTTAAACACTTATGACTGTGGGAAGTCCTGGCAGAACCCAGTGCGTACAAGACTGGCACACACAGAGCTCTTGACCACTTACCACTCAGTCACTGGCTTTGATTGACCAACTGGATGGTGAGTCTCTGTTTTATTTCCCTAACAAGATTGTCAAGCTGCAGTGTTATTCGCAGGTGGCGCTGGGTTGCATAGACCTTTGGAATCTTTCTTTTCAGCTTACACAGAGGGAAAGCAGGGAGAAGGAACCAAAGGGGCAGGAGTAGGTCCTCTGCTCAGCACACGTTTCAGAGCAGAGAGAGAGAAGGTGGAGCCTACCTGTTGGTTGAAATATGGCAATATTACTGTAAAGCCATATGTGTTTGTTTATTGATGGTCAAAACCTTTTTTTTAAATAAATAGAAGCTGATGGTTACCAAAATCTCACCAAAAAAATAGAAAAATCATTACTTTTCATTTCTCAGGCTCAGTATTCTCAAAGGCACTTCTGATGCTAGAAATGCTACTTTTCTTCTTAAGTACAAGTGACTTACTGAGGTCTCCACTTAGTGACTTAATAAATGTTTGTTGAATGAGTACTGTCAGGTCTTTAACCAAAGCTTGATGCTCCACCACACTCTAAGAGGGGAATGAAAAACACCAATATTGTCTATATTTTGTAGGTGAGGAAATTCAGGCTCAGAAAGTCTGCATGACTACTCATACATTTCACTGTCACAGACGCCCTCCTCCCCCTCCCAACCACCCAGGTCTGTTCTGACTCCAAATCCTGTCACCTTTGCTTCTTGTAATCTGATCTCCATATCTTTGTTCATTACAGGAAAGATGAAATAGAGAGAAACATATTTTGGGCTAAAACACTCTTGTAAAAGGTTCCACTAGTGTTCTTTTATAGTAAAAATGAAAAAGCTAAATATTTTTTTTTCACTTGACCCATTTGTAAAACATAGTTTATAGGGCAGTCAAAAAAAATGGAAATGGGTTTAAAAAAAAACTCTACTACATTAATACTAAAAGGAAGCAATAAAAATAAAAATAAACCCTTAGGTACAGAGAAACTCCAATGCAGAGTACTCCTGACATCTGTTAAACTGGGTAGTAGGGAAGGGATCATACATCCCTACATGAATCCCTGTTGCTACAAATCATAGGGAGACTTAGTAAAAATATGCTTTTGATTGCAGACATACAGAGAAAGTTTGCAAGTGAAAACTAAAGAAGATACTGCACTAAGATTCTGTTTCAGGGAACATTAGACTATACTTTTCAGGAACTCCAATGAAGCCCTCCTAATGTCTTAGAAATGGGAAGGTAAATGCAGAGGCTGTCAACTATATGAGTTCATATCCCACAAAAAGCCACCAAATGCACTTACTTGGCACAAAAAGAACTGAGAGATTGGTGCATTGTATCACAGCCAGTGGGAAATGTTTTATTCTATAAATAAGTTATCAGAGACGATTTTGTTTTTAATCAGGAAAAAAAAACCTTTCCAAATTTTTGTTTTCTAATCTTAAATAGCTAAGTTAAAAATCACTGTCATTGATAGCATCTGCTCTTGCCTCTCTATATCTAATATTCACAGAAAGTCAGCACTTTTTCACTTCAAATCAGAAGCCAGATGCTGGTCTTGCTTACCAGTTTGCTATTACCTTGAGGGGAGAGAGGACAAAGCTGTTAGGGTCTTGTTAATTCGAGAGATATATTTCCTTTTTGTTGTCTTACATGCATTATTTTCAACACAGAGAATACTAGGCAACGAGCCCATAAGCTGCAATGTTCATTTGACTTTACTAAGCAGGAGGGGTTGGGGTTGCCATGCCCTTCTGGGCAGGTGCAGGCCAGGAGTGAGCTGCTGGGCCTCTGGCCAGCAGAAACTGCATAGGAGAGCTGTGGTGTGTCCCTGTCTGCTACCGTGTCCAAACCGAGGGCAGGGTGTGCAGTTTATGAAGCACTTTGGAAAGTGGAAAGTATGAAACCTTCTCAACATAAAATCCTAGCATTCCCCCTCCAGAGAGGAGAGGAGAAAAATGGACGCAAGCTTTGATTCATCACTCACATGCCCTCCATGCACAGACACCTGCAATGCGGCTGCAACTGACGTTCTGTGTCTGCAAGCTTTGATTCATCACTCACATGCCCTCCATGCACCTGCAATGCGGCTGCAACTGACGTTCTGTGTCCTCTCTGTGCATTCTCCACTTCCTCCCTAGAACACTTGAAGGAGAAGTTAGAGGAGTACATGGCCAGGTTTTCCAAAGTGAGGATCGTTCGCACCAAGAAAAGGGAAGGGCTCATCCGGACCCGCCTCTTGGGGGCATCCATGGCCAGAGGAGAAGTCCTGACCTTCCTGGACTCCCACTGCGAGGTCAACGTGAACTGGCTGCCCCCGCTCCTGAGTGAGTACACAGCTGATGGGGCCTCCTGGCAGCTTTCAGAAGGAGTGCGGGGTTTGCTTCCACTTAGTTTGCAACCTACAAAGGCTAAAGACCCCCCTCCTGCAGTTTTTACAGTGGGAGCCTTGAATTCTACCTTAACCCTTGCTGAGGACAAATGGGTAACTAGAAAACTGCATTAAAATTGCCATTTTGGAGAATGTCATCTGTAATCTATCGTATGGTTTGAAAGGGTTTCACTTATCTTAGACGTGCTCTTTGATTGTAGTTGTGTTCGCTGGGTAAATGCTAAAAGAAAAAAGTATTCAAAAATGCTATCTATGACAACAGTACGCTTAAAATTCACACACATACCTCGCCTACACATGCACAGTTTAACAATTATTACAGGATTATTAAGAGATGAGGAAAGAAAATTATTCAGTCCCTGTATGCAGTTGAATTGTAAGCTCCCTGGCATTGTCTAGGGTTTATAATGCCAGTTCTTTTCACTTTGGCACTAACCTAGATCCCGAAATAGAGAATCCCCCACATTTAAGCAGAACCCCCTGAAACATTCAGGGTTGGGATCCAAATGACAGGTCTTACTGCTCCTAATATGATTACGAGGAGGGAAAAGACTCTGTGACATTGCACTCAAAAGGTTAGAAACTGGAAGCCATTCAAGTTCAAGGTAGAAAACCAATGTGTGGCTCAGTGTGAGCTTGACTATTTTTTTTTAATGTCACAATGAAGTCAGATATAAAGTCTAGTAGTGGATAAGGGACAAATTGTAAGCTTGAAAAAAAAGTGTGTTTCTAAAAGTTCCTGCTGGGCGCATATTGTACTCCTTCCTATTGTTCAAGATTTCACTAATTCAATTTTTACTGTGAATAATCTCTGGCTTTGGAGCTAAAGCCAGTAACAACTGCCTTCACAATAGCTGCCTCAGAGGGAATGATTTGCTATTGGCTACTGTGTAGGATTTCAGCTAGAACTAGCAAAGAGCCATTAGTAAAAGACAAGGGGCAGGGGGCGGGGATCAATTGATCTATATAGGATTAAGAGCAGAAAAGGTCCATCAACTAACAAACACCCAACCACATTGCCCAATCCACGCACCCCTGCACAGATGACTGCCCAGCCATCCTAATCAACAGGAATGTTTCAGTGCTCCTGCAGCCACAGACTCCTCTGAGCTTTTAATTAAAAATACCTTGTCCAAGGACATAGCAATTTAGAGTTTCATCAGCAACAGTGAGATTCCCTCAAACGGAATTTGATCTATATGGTGTGGAATACCCAGGGAAGTCAGCAAAAGGCCTAATTTATTTATGAACCACAGCACTCCCTAAATGCCAATTATCAAGCCTCTGAATGTTCGTATGAATCTAACAAGAAAGAAAATAGATGGAAAAAAGAGAGAGAGAAAAGAGAAACCCACTTTTTCTCATTAAAGCATTTCATTTCCTGTAGGCCTGATGGATAAGAAATGATTCAAGCTCAGGATCACTATCTTTTTTTATTTTCCTTTATCAGTGTCTTGACACATCATCCAAAATGAAAAAACAGGCGGAGTCACACGGATTCTTGACTCATTTTTCACCTTGGGATTATACCTGAATTTCAATTTCCCATTAAGAGTCTGTTTTGTTTGATCCCTGGAAATTGAAATGTAGGCATAAGTCTTAGATGAAAAATTAGTCATGCTGCTTTCACTCTAAGCGAGTATGGCTGGATGAGAGCTGAAAGGAAATTTGAAGGGAGAGTTGACAGTTAATTTAACAGAGTCATTCTCTTTGGGTCACCTTGGGACTCCTTGTTGGTCAAGGAACTTGTAAATCAGCCAGATTCTGAATTTGATTGAAGAAAGCCACTGAAACCTTCATACAAAAATACCTGCAGGGGTGATAGGAAAAAATATGTTGGACACAGTGATGACAGTCTCCTCTGTCAAAGACATCTATGGGGAAACACCATTTAGATAGAGATTAAAATCCATTATGAGGCTTGCCCAGGTGAAAATGGGTGCTTATAGAGCCCTTAGTGGAGATTAACTTGATATTAGTGCTGGGGGCCTCTCTGCCTTCTAATTAGCTAAAAATAAAAATAAGAACTCCAGGCTCACTGAGACCAACATTCCACATTCCCCTTACCCTGTTTTTTTTTTCTTTCCATCACATTTATCACCTTCTAACATACAATATAAGTTATTTATTATGTATATTGATTTCTTTATTCCATTCCTGAAGACATGGGTTTTTGAGATTGTTATTCACTGCTATATTCCAAAATCCTAGAAGAGTGACTGGCACAAAATTTCTATTCAGTCAGTAGTTGTTGAACTTGAGTGAATAAACAAACAAACGAGTGAATGAAAACACATGTAGATCTGGATGGGAGATCTTTCAATGGATTCTGTGGTTTCCACACCCTGGCTTATAGGTGTCATCAAAATAATGTTACTGAAATAACCAAGCCTCATTATATCTAAACAATATGATTTTTTAAAGCATATTTAAATATATTTTATTCCACATGCCACATTGGGTATTCCGAATAATCATTGAGCAGATGGTCATACTTTAAAGTTCTGCCTATCAGACAGTATTAGTTTGTTATAATAAATCTTGAAAAAATGCACATTCTTGGGAAGGAAATACTTCACATGTAGCTATTCTAGGTGAGAAAAGTATGTAAATGCCAGCTATCTGCATCGACTATTAATATCTCACAATAATAATATCTCCATGGAAAAGAAAGGCGCTGGAAATGAAAACGATAGCACCTTTCTGCTACATGAGAATCATGGTGGCCAATAGGAAAGACCACAGGTTTTAGGCTTGGACCACTAGGCAGAAGTTGCATCCCGGTTCTTGTTCTCAAGAGACCAGTGGCCTCTGACAAGTTATTTAACTTCTCTGAGCTCAGTTTCCTCATATGTAAATTGGGATTGATAGTAATAGCCACCTTACAGGGTTGCCAGGAGGATTAGAAATAGCATGAGCTCAAATCCCTAAGTAGTTGCTCAAGAATATAATAGAATGTAGCAGGAAGCATAGCAGTAGTATCAGGCCATCTAATATATTTTGGGGTATGATGAGAGAAGATAAAAATGGATAGCTTTAATAAACAGAGTCTATATCAAAGAACAGTCGCAAGATAGGACGTGGCAAAATCTCTGTAAGCCTGAGAGCAAAGAATTCTGCTATCAATGTTTAGAGGCAACAGCCCTTATAACAGCGGTTCTCAACCTGTGGGTCGCGACCCCTTTGGGGGTCGAACAACCCTTTCACAGGGGTCGCCTAAGACCATCGGAAAACACATATATAATTACATATTGTTTTTGTGATTAATCACTATGCTTTAATTATGTTCAATTTGTAACAATGAAATTGGGGGTCACCACAACATGATGAACTGTATTAAAGGGTTGCGGCATTAGGAAGGTTGAGAACCACTGCGTAAGATTAGATACTAAAAAAGCCATGATGTTAAATATTTACATTTTGGAACCTCCGGAAAGCAGGCCAATATTTTCTCAGCAGGCTCTAGCTGTATGCTTGAAGGAACACCAGTGCTGTTTATACTCCACACACGTTAGATGCTCTATGGAATGACAGATTGGGGACAGGTCCGAGCAAAAATGCGACAGAGGTAAAGCTAAATGGACTTCTGCAAGTCTCTCTGGGACATAACTTTCTGAAAAGAAAACACAGCCAACTAATTGTGCCTAATCACTGTCCCATCACGTTAGGTCCAGCATTCAAGCAGAGATTCCGCAAAGTGCTCTAAGGACAACAGGGAACCGGGCTGCCAGCATTATGCATTAGGAGGGATCTGTAGGCTGCTCTTTGCTGAAAACATGATAGATGACCTAGGCAGGCATGTCATTTCCTATTTTGTGCTTTCATTTTTCAGACCAAATTGCACTAAACCACAAAACCATCGTGTGCCCCATGATCGATGTCATTGACCACAATCACTTTGGGTATGAGGCACAAGCTGGGGATGCCATGCGAGGCGCCTTCGACTGGGAAATGTACTACAAAAGAATCCCCATCCCTCCAGAGCTCCAGAGGGCAGATCCCAGCGACCCTTTTGAGTGAGTAGCAGCTGAGGGAGGGGCCCAGGGAGAGAGGGCAGGTAATTCATTCCAGGGTGTCAATGGAGGACCCGTGAGAAAAATGACCTCTAAAAAAATGGGATAACACAGATGGAAACAATATGAAAAACACTGGAGAAAGGTCAGACCTACATGCTGTAGAAAAATCAGCATGCTGCGCTAAGTGCACGGATCACTCCTTCCCAACCTTGGCTAAGCGTGCGAGGAAGTGTGCAGATGTGAGAATCAAGGAAATGCAGGGTTCACAGAAAATGCATGGAGAGGGAATGCATATTCTCCTTTTACATACTCTCGTAGATGTTTTCTTATGTTCAGGTTTCTCTATTCTTTTCACTTTATTATTTAAATTAACTATTTTGCTCTTCTTTTGGGGAGAAATGATATGAAATATGAACTACTATTTAAGCCTGTGTTCCACCCTGTTGGGAATTGCCCCGTTATGAGGAAGCAGTGCTTCTGAATAGGTGTTCTCATAACTTATCTCGGGAAAATCAATCAAAACTATGTATCCAGATAAATAATCTTTGATAACCCTGCCACTAATTTAGATTCTATATAGATAAGAATTTATAATAATCTGTTGATTTCTATAAAGCTAAATCCTTGTGTGTTTTTAATGTGGATATGAAAATTATCATGTCAAGAAAAAAGGAAAAAAAAACAGAGCTTAGTTGGACAAACTATTAGAACCATAAATGCTAAATGATGAACTTTTTCCAAAGTTAGTCCAGGGATTGCCCGAGGCATATGATTATCTATTCCTTATTACTACCGCCTTTTGCTCTCATTAAAATCTTTATAATTTAAAAACTATTACATATTTTTCTTTAGCGTAAGAAAAAAGTGATCAAGGCTTTGCGCACTCTGTCAGAATCTGCTTCAGATGCAATAAAATCACTATTGTCTTTTCATTAATAATCTGGGCTATGAAAGTTTGCAGTAGAGATGCTCCCGGCATCACTAACACTAACACTTTAAATTACAATAAACATCAGGAAAACGTTTTCTCCAATTCCAGTCTCTAGAAAGACAAACTGTTGGGAAAGCAGAAGGGATTTCAGAAGACATTTGCCGGATAAAAAGAGATAGAAACCATTTAAAATAATAATAATATGAAGAATACTCATTAAGTATTAAGTATTCAAAATTTCTGAACTTAGGCCTTTCAGACTCTCAAAGTGCTGGAGAGGTTTTGAGAAGATATAGGAAGACCCTTTATCACTCTTCCAAATGCTTTGGCCAAGATTTCAAGGATATTCAAAACTGCTAGAGACGTTCTTCAGCGACCTAAGTGAAGGGGTTTCTATTAAGCATTTGAAACGGGCCTGGCAGAGAGCTACCCTTCAGACTTCCTGGCAGACGGGCTGATGGGGGGATTTAAAGCCAGGTTGTAGGTTGGGAGAAGATACAAAAAAATTCTTAAATACAGTGGAGCTGTTATTAGATGGCAGCTGACAGAATAGCCACAGCCCAGTTGTTACTTTCCGAGGCTGTCATGTTTCAAGGGCTGGAATTCATCCATGATGGCTTTTCAAATACTGTAATAGGACTGGGTTAGAATGTCCTTCTAAGGGGACTTTATTTCCACTTAGAAAGACTTTACTCTGACTGCAGTAGTAGAGTGGAGCTCCTGCTCTCTGCAGAAATAAATGGGTTCCAAATACTATCAAGGGGATCTGAAATTGTAAAAGTCTTCTCAGTCCCTGCACTGACACTTAAAATGTTTGTCAAGTAGCCATCACAATATCAGGCACCTTGTTTAACCCCAGAGGCTGGCGGAGTTGGTCCCTTTCAGGATTAAATTACCTCTTGTTCCTGTCACCTACTTAGGTCCTCATCGTCCTGTCCAAATTGCATTCCTCTTTGAATCCTACTGCCTTTCTGCTTTAAATCCATTTGATGCCTATGAATGTGGACACTTTAGCCTTTTATAATAAATTTAGCTTCCAGGAGGTGTCCACTTTGATGTTAAAAACTGCATTTGCCTTCCCGATTATAAAAGAATGGTTACCCAAAAGGCCAGGAGCAGCGTATCAGCAATTCCATTATCAGCAGTCACCTGAGTGTGCTCATCAACAGGCATGCTTTAGGCTAAAACTTGCTTCTTGGATATAAAGCTTTAAGATCCACAGAAGGAATGCAGTCTATCTGTGTTTCACTCTCACAGTATTTAATGTTTCAAGAGGCTGCTTCATGGGTGTAGGTGGGAGGAGGGGGAGAGGAGGCGGAAAAGATAGGAAGAAAGGAACTCAAGAGTAATATATAAAAGGGTTGCAAACCCCAGGACTTTTCAACCATATATGTGCAAGCATTACCTTTCTGTAGCAAGTTGGTCAAATGTCCTAAGTGACAAGACTTGAATTCTCTCATTTATCCTGCCATTATTTGAGTTTTTCAGTGACTGTCTCTATTGACCACAATAGTGTTTTTCAACCTGCAATGCTTGTGAAAATAGTGGGGCATGAACAGTATTTAATTGTTGAAAGTTTCAGAATATTATACTAATATGTATGTATCAGTATTACTTCTCAAATATTTGATTTCATTTATAATGTATATATGCTCCTGGGTCGTGATATAAACTGTACTTCGCAATATAGTTCATTAACAGAGTTTAAAATCTACTAACTTCCTAACTAGGAATCAAGGCCTTCATTATTCTAACTAGGAAGAAAAAGGAAAGGTCACAGATAACCTTGGACACTACGGAAAAATTACTTATATTTGCAAAGAGCTCTAGTTTTCAGACAAACTGCTCCTAGAATATGAGAGAAAATGCAATATTCATAGTTCAAGCTCTTATATGGCAGACACAATTCTGATTGGATTGGATACATTTGATAAATGTTCTTGTCTTTAAAAAATATATTCTCCTTTTTTTGGTGGCTTATCTCATGATGTAATACTTTTAGGAAATGCTTGTTATGGTTATTCGTGGTTTTCAGAAGGTTTCCTTATTCCTGGTTTATCTGTAAGCCCTTTCCATGAGGAATGTAAGCCCTTTCCATGTGGCAAAACACATTATGCTCCTTTAGTTGTGGTGACAAAGGGAAAGATGTTCATTTGCATTCTAACCACTAACTTCAACATTATCTCAGCATCAAAAGTTTAGAAAGGACCAGAAGAAATGACTTTGTCCAAGTTCCCTTTAGCACAAGCAACCACTAAACAATGTCTAAGACAGATGACCAACATTTGCTTGAACTCTTCAGGGACATAATATTTTTGCTGCCTCAAAAGACAATCCATTCTATTAGACTAAATGACAGAAAATTGTTGCCTCCTTGATTGCAGACTGTCTAATTCCTGTTTGATGATAGAGCTGTTAAAATTTAAAAACAGCCTATTCCTCCCAAAAGGGAAAAAAGAGGAACTTTTTCCAGTTCTATCCCCAGAACCCTATGAAAGAGCATGTTCATTGATGTAACTGTTCAATATATGTAAATTTACTTGACTACTGTAGTCTCATCCATGTTTCCCCAACTTGTTCACAAAGACAGTGTGAAATAGTCCATCCAATATATCTAATACTCAGGCCCTAATACATGAGTCTGTCAACCATAAAAATACAGCTAATTTCTAGGGAATTGCACTAGAGATCATGCTTTCTTTGCTAAGTACTCACAATCAGTTCGGCTGTTCACTTAATTTTATAGTTTCACTGTATTTTTCAGAACCCACCCCTGTCCTATCTTTGAATTGTAGAAAAATTACTTTTACTCTGTCAAGCTTCCTCGGACAAATCTCTACAATTCCTCAAAGACTTCTCAGACTTAGAGTTTTGATCATCGTGGATAGAATTTATACACACAATCATTAGTGAGGACTGACATATTCTATTTTTCACTTCTGGGTAACACCAATTTCCAAAATTTTAAAAATAAGGATATCTATGCTTGGGAGGTGGACTTCACAGGCCACAAATGTCCAGAAATCCCAGTGTCTACAGACACATCCGTTTGAATTCAGTAACTCCTCATTGTGGCCAGTTACCTAGTCCAGAAATATCCTAGGACATGGGTAACAATGTCCATGACCTGTCGTGAGGCACCTGAAGGTTCGCACTTCAAAAACCCAAGGTCCCCTGAGGTCTAAGGACCAAATATAGAATCCCTGTGGCCTGATTCTGCAATCCAGGAGTATGAAGCATAGCTCACGCTAGTATGGATAACATTCAACCTCTGTTACAGAGGAGTGTGTCACTGTTTCATGGAAGTGGGATGCCTTCAAAAGATTTACTGACAGTATCTCCCTTTGTTCTTTCAAGGGACAGAGAGCAGAGAGATTCCTGGGAACTTTCTGACTCTCTTTTCTATACAGCAGTATGGCCAACACCATGAGAAAGTCAGTGTCTCTTGGATAACAAATACAATATGCTAAATGTAAGGTTAGAATGGAATTGAATCAGAAAAAAAGTGCAAATAATCATAAGTTTATCAAGCTATAATCTATAGAGACAACTCAAATTTATACTACAGAGCCTAAGTAACTTATCCAGTGTCCTAATTAATATATTTACCAGTTCCTACTAGAATCTGGGGTTGCTCTCTCACCTTCTGGTGCTGCATTCTTTCTTCTACAACATGGGGGGCGGGCGGGAGTGATTAAGAGTTGTTAAATGTCTACTACTATGAGTCAGGCATGGGGCTAGGAAATGTGCTTATATTGCTGACTCATTTAATCTTTGTCTCAAGTCTATGAAATAAATGATAATGTCTGAATTTTTACAAATGAGGTAATTTAGCTCAAAAAGGTTAGGCAATTTTCAAAGTTTATACAGGAAATCTGAAGAAAAACCCAGGCCTAAGGATTCCCACTGTTCCATGGAAATTGCCACCTCTCTTTTTACTCAGAGAAGATACATTCTCTAGTGCTTAAGGAATAACCATGTTCAAATAGAGGGAAAAAAAATTTAGAGAATACAATAGCTTTTTCCCCAAAGCAGCAACACATACTGGTAAATGAGTATCGCAAAACTA